TCTGAAGATGGCACGGCTGTCTATTTGCATGTGTTCCTGCCTCCTCCCCGTGTTTTCATTTCGTGCTGCTCTGATTCCTGCTTCAGCCGGCAGACTCTCCCTCTGTCCGGCTACACAGCCTTGCCGTTTGATCTTCCCCACTTTACATTTCTGAGCGGCGGACAAGCATAACATGACATCACAGGACTTTCTTTTGCTGCTGGAGACGCAGTGATGGAATCTGTCCCTGACTGTTTGCCTTACAATCCCCTTCTAATTAGTTTGATTGTAGATTGTAATTAGGATGCATCTCATGGTCGGTAGGGGGTGGGTCACACTTTAACCTGATGAAGACGCCACGCTCACCTGATGAAGACCAAGGATCAGCCAATACTGATCGAGCAGGTGGAAGCGACCGAGAGAAGGAGGGAATTGTTTTTGAAGAAAATATCCTCATCAGAGATCACAACACCTGGAAAAAACAGATGTTTATACTTCTGGATTTCTTGTTGCGCAACTTAACCTGTTAAAATTGCTATGAAATCTTTTTAATTTTAATAAAATTTTTCACATTTTTGGATTTGTTTTTTTTCCTGAGTGTGAAAGCGGCCTGGGAGACATTAATAACATTAAAATCAGGTTCAGCTGAGAGTAAAATAAAGGTTTGCTTTTCCTGTCTATGTTTGCTGACGCTCCATCCGGCGTAACGCCGTTAGTCCTGTTTACATGTGACTGCTGCGGCTGGTGGTGCCGCCTTTGTGAATTTCATGGCTGTGATGGCCTTTGAAGTGAAGCTGGAGGGATTACTGGGGGGGGAGCAATGAACTGGAGCTGAACCTCTGAGAGCAAGGGAGACGATAAAGGCAGAGAAGACTAGATGGAGGGGAGCAGTGAAGGACTGACATGCCTTTTATGCGGTCGATGCGTCGCTCTGCGTGGCACAAGTGACAGGAGTGTGTGTGTGTGTGTGTGTGTGTGTGTGCGAGCGGGTTTACCTATCCTTATGGGGACATAATGTCCCCATAATGTGATAAATATCCGTTTTTTTTCCCTTATGGGGACTGGTTTTCCATGTGGGAAAACTCTATTTTATAAAAATCGGTGACTGCTATGAAAAAACTAAAACTGCAAAAACTCTTGAATTTTGTTAGGTTAATTATGGTTATGGTTAGGGCAGGGTAGGGGTTAAGGTTGTCATAGTTAGCTTTAGCATTTTTCCCATTGAAATGAATGAGCGGTCCCCATAAGGATATGTATACCCTACATGTGCGTGTGTGTGTGTGTGTGTGTGTGAAATGTGTAGAAGATGATATTGACACCAATACATAAAGCAAACTGGTTAAATTTGCAGACGACACCAAGGTGGGTGGTGTAGCAGATACTAAATTAGCAGCACAGAGGCTACAACGGGATCTTGATTTAATTAGCGACGGGGCTGAAATTTAACACAGATAAATGTAAGGTAATCCATGCAGGGAGCAGAAATATAAAGTACAGATATTTTATGGGTTCCACTGAAATAAAGGTAGCTGATTACGAGAAAGATCTCAGTGTGTGTGTTGATGCTTCCATGTCCCACTCTAACTAGTGTGGGGAAGCAATAAAAAAGGCCAATAGAATGTTGGGTTATATCTCTAGGGGTGTGGAGTTTAAGTCAAGGGAGGTGATGCTACGATTATATAATTCCTTGGTAAGACCCCACCTAGAATATTGTGTGCAGGTTTGGTCACCATACCTTAAGAAGGACATTGCTGCCTTAGAAAACGTGCAACGGAGGGCTACGAGAATGATTCCTGGTCTTAGAGGAATCTTATGAGGAGAGGTTAGCGGAAGTGAATCTGTTTAGCCTTGAGCAAAGGAGACTAAGGGGGGATATGATTCAGGTCTATAAGATTCTAACGGGTCTGGATGCTGTTCAGCCAAATGGCTACTTCAATATTAGTTTTAATACTAGAACTCGTGGCCATAGGTGGAAATTAGCGGGAGAACATTTTAAACTGAATTTGAAAAAACACTTCTTTACACAGCGTGTAGTTAGAGTATGGAATAGTCTTCCTGCTAGTGTAGTGCAAGCTAAAACCCTGGGTTCCTTTAAATCAGAGCTAGATAAGATTTTAACAACTCTGAGCTATTAGTTAAGTTCTCCCCAAACGAGCTTGATGGGCCGAATGGCCTCCTCTCGTTTGTAAATTTCTTATGTTCTTATGTAAGCTGTGACTGAAAGCCTGGTCCATTTGTTTTCATGTCCTTTCCAGCTATAATTATAATTAAGGAAAGGAACTTGCTTCAGGTCAGTTAAGGATGTGTTAATACAGTTGAGAGAGGCTAGATTGAAATGTCATGAGTGTAAAGACTGCCTCAGCCTTTCACTGTTTGTGGACACGCTTGTCCCTGCTCTTAGTTGGCTTCTCTTTGAATAACTGGGATTAAGAGCTGGAGTCTTAGGTTAGACAGCTCATCCAGTCAGTCTCAGTATTCTTTATGTGTCCTCTGTAGGCAGATAACTTCACAAAAGAGCATCAGTCCCTTAATGTCCCTTCTGAGATAATCGTCAGCCGACTTCCAGTGCATCTAAAGAAAATGACTCGTCTTTGTGTGAGGAACATCTTCAGACTCTTCTCCTCATGCGTATTTTCACCTGTCAGTTGCTGATGTGTTTTTGTCTTATTGCACGTGACATTCTCTCCACAGTGAATAGAGGAAAGCTGCATATATATTTTGTTGCTGGATTTTTGCTGTCAAGTGATAAAACTCTTTGCCGCGTGTCTCTACAATGGGGCTGTAGGTTTGATGTTGCTGACATTTATGGATAGGAAAGATGGCAGAGGGGTTCCTTATCCAGTGTGAGGGGGGGGGGCTGCTGGGGGATCCGCCGCTCCAGCCGGCGAACAGGTGGCCGGGGCCTCGTGCCAGCAACCCAGACAGCGGGCACCTGTTGGGGACTCAGGATGTGCTGTTTTGGATGGCTGCCAACCACACGGCCTTCGAGCCACGACCTAGCGACCAACCGCACGGCTCTTGAGCCACGACCCAGCGACCAACCGCACGGCCCTTGAGCCACGACCCAGCGACCAACCGCACAGCCTTTGAGCCACGACCCAGTGACCAACCGCACAGCCTTTGAGCCACGACCCAGTGACCAACCGCACGGCCTTTGAGCCACGACCCAGCGACCAACCGCTCAGCCTTCGAGCCACGACCCAGCGACCAACCGCACGGCCTTCAAACCACAACCCAAAACATGCCACATCTTGGAGGCGACACACTCGGATGTTCTGGGGGTGTCGCTTATCACATTACTAGCTGAAACTCTGTTGGCTGTTATCATGACATTGACCGAACCTTGCCATCCTGTACTGTTGTACTTAAACCCTAAAACTAGGTATTTTAATGGCACAGATTGTAAGAATGTGAATGAGAGGTTCTTTGGCCATGTAAGGTCACAATAACAAGGAATTTGTTTTGGTCTGATGCTTGCAGTGATGTAGAACAAGCGAGAGAAAAGTGAAAGATGCACAGCAGTTGCCATACAAACACCATTAATGAGTAAATTACTTAATATGAATATGCTATGAAATTTACACCGGTTCTCCTCAAAACTATAACTGCAGTCCCTGTTCCGGCCCCTTCCATGTTGTTTCCGTGAGGTTCTGCTCTGCAGAGCCATTGAAGGTGTGCAGAGACGTTTTGGTCATAAGCGGGAGATTTTCTTTTTTAAAAGATGACCAGTCTACAATGAGTGTTTCACTGCTTCGCTTTTTCTGCTGAAAATGTCGGCTTGTTGCTGTCTCACTTTGACAGGCGAGGTCACCTTCCACGACACACCTCCACAATCCCCTTCCCTGAGGAAGATTTGACCTCCCTGACCGGCCAGCAGTCATAGGGGCTGCAGTTTCATGCTTGATGATCAGTATTGGCCCAATTTTGGATCATCTGAACGGAATTCCAGTCGCCTGGTTCCCCTGATGTCCTTTGGCATGGTGTGTGCAGAGGCATGTTAATGCGGCCACAGGCCTCTGGGTTGTTTGCAGGTCTGTAATCGGTTATGAAAATGAAAATCAAATTAAGAAACAACTAAAAGAAAACTATAAATATTTCTTCTGAAATCAACAGTAGTAAAAATGAACGTCAAATACATTCTGTTACTGGTTTTAAGGCAATCAATACACTAAAAAATCTTGTATGTGGTAAAGTTGGGATCGAGGCCCTGCCATAAAGTTTCATTTACCAGGTGAATGTTACTCTTGGACAAACACTGACTAACACATTTCTTACTTACTTGAACTGTTTTATAAACACGCTAATGATTATTGTACTGGGATTTTAAGATGGATATTCTGTACAACACAAGTGCTGGTGACCAGGGTGGCGGGTGTATGTGTGGTGACAGTGAAAGTTGTCATCTGGTGAGGGGGGGGGGAATTAAAAATTCTATTAACCAAGGTTACCTGAGGCCTCTTTTTAGATGTGGCCCCTGGCCGTGTGAGTCTGTGCATGAGAGACACTAATGTCATGGTGTGATGCATTTGGGGGGGGGGGCTGGCACCGTCTTCAGGTGTTTTCCCGCTGTTCCCAGTTTGCTTCCTGTATGCTGTGTGGCCACAGATTCTCCAGGCTTGGCTTCTGTCTTCCTGCTATGAATATAACACTGTACAGTGCTGTGATTTGGGAAATCCCTGCTTAATACACTGAAAGTGTTTTATAATGGCAGGGGGAAATAATCAACGAGCTGGAAGTTTGTCTTGGCCGAACCTCTCCTACTGCATGCATAGCAATATTAATACTTTAATAACACTGGAGTCCCTGCCCCCCCCCCCTTTATCTAGGAGCTTTGAATCTACTTCAGTTTCTGATCCAGCTCCAGCGGGAGTCCTGGGTGTTTGTGGGGAGTCAGGGGGAGGCACACAGCATAGAGTGAGTGAGTGAGTGGGTGGGTAAGTTGGGGAGGGGGGGCGTGCATCTACCACGGAACCACAGCTTGTGAGCGAGAGGGAGAGAGACGGAGGGAGAGACAGGGAGATGGTCTCTCCAGCTAGGGAAGCAGGCAGAGGACATCTCCAACTGAAATGCAAACAGTGAGAGGAGGGAATAGGAAAAACGAAAGGGGGAGGAACAGAGGATTCAGGAGGAGAGAGAGAGGGGGAACGAGCGTGAGACGGAGAGAAGGGGAGTGGGACGAAGAGGAGAGCAGCGTGGGGTAGTGCTGCACTCAGGAGATAAGAGAACCTCGCTGAAAACAGCAGTGTGCTTCCTCACGCCTGGGACCCCAGGAGGAGGAGGAGGAAGAGAAGGTGTGCTGTTACCCAACAGTGGAACATCTGCCCCCCCCCCCTTGTTAGAGGAGACCAGAGACTCGGCTGTGCTGAGTCTGCCACAGGGGGGTGCTGGGGCGTTGGGAGGAACGACGGCTTGGGCACCGAGGGGCCGACTCCGAAGTGTCCAAGGCGGGGGAGGGGTTCCGTCATTCCAGGGAGGGCCGGGAGCAAAACGGGGGGGTCCTGAGCACCGACGGAGAGGAGGGCACCCGCTGGAGCCAGCCACATACCGACCTCTGCCACCGTCACGCCGGGACGCCGTGTTTTTGTAGGGGGCCGGCTATGGACGACACGCTCACCTGCAGCCCCGCCTCCTTCTCGCAGGTGTTTGGCCGCCAGGGACAGCTCATGCAGGCCAGTGAGTATCTCCCACCCCTTCTTCACCCCCCGAAAGTGACACCTTCCCTACCTAGACTGATCAGGCATGAACCTGGGGGGTCGATCTCATCCCCCCGGCTTGGGGATGGTCTGCCAGGGCTGAAATGCTGGGATTCCGTTCGGCTCCGGGTTTGAGGAACAAAGGCTTCGGCAGGCGGGGGCTCGAGTTGCGAGTCCAAAGCGAGAGGGAGGGGCTGGATGTTCCAATCGGGTCGCCGTGGTACTGCTGTGTCCTTTGGGCCCGTGAAATAAGATTATCTATCTGAACAAGAGCTTTTGTGCCAGGACTCATTACCTCATCGATGCTTAATCCGCTAGCCGGCCACACTGGACCCGCAGGTGGAGGCGCTGTGCGGATTTTGGCCTCAGGGTTTTGTGGTTCAGCCTCGCCGTTTATGGGGCTGATTTATCCGAAGTCAGAGTGGATGAATTTCGCTGGACCGGTCTGGCGGGCAGTACTTCCTAGCGTGCATTTTTTGCGGTTTCATGTTTGATGACCTTGCCTTTGAATAACGACTTTGAAGTAAATCGATGTTGCAACGCCATGCAACACAGCGTAAGTTGAGCTCGGATGTGGCCGGCTATCAGCCGCTAACGTTTGTGTAAGAAATACCGTCTGTTAGAAGAAGGCACACTGTGTTTGCAGACACTCCCTAACCATCACCATGATGAGGTCGTCCTAGCAGGAGCCCAGAAAAGAACTTTTACCCGGCAGTCAACGTGTCTGCCGACTAGCGTCGGATATTACGTGTGATAGCATGAGGTGACAGGAGCTAAGAGACATTTATGGTGTGATTCGCTGGGTCTTCCAAACCTTCATGTTGCTTATGGGCCAGACTCACTCTCCTCTATCGTCATAAATGATACAGCGCTGTTTGGGGGTGTGGTCTGTGGGGTGGGAGTGAGGGGGGCGTGGGTAGGGGGATGGGGTTGGAAAAAATCAATTTTACCCAGTGATCTTGTCAAGATTTGCAGGAGATCAAGGCTTTCTGTGCTCTCCCCAGAATGCCATTGGTTGACCTGTCTGTAGTACATGGTGAAGTGTGTGTGTGTGTGTGTGTGTGCGTATGTGTGTGTGTCTGTGTGTTGATACCTGACAGTTCAGCATGGGCAAGCATTTCTAGATGTGAAGTATGCTAAAACGCAACAGGAAGAATTCCTCCTCAAAGATTTTTTTTTTAAATAAATAATGCTCTTTGTCTGAATATTTCAGAGCCTCATTAGTCCCATCGTTGGGTATGCAGGATTGCATCGCTGCTTTCTGCCTGCGACATGATCGGTATTAAAATTCTGGATTTGGCTTTGAGAAGCTGGGAGCCTCCATCGAGAAACATCTGAATGTGGGGATCAGATGATCCGTCTCTCAGAAAGCAGCAGAACGGATGTTTAAACCTGCCACAGGCCTCTTATGTGTTTAAAACTTCCTCCCAAACATCATCAGGGACTCAGCGGTCAGCATACATTGTTGGGTGTCTCTGCTGATGCCCATCCAGGTTCAGTCTGAAAGCTTTTCAGAACGTCATGTTCGAGACACCAGATATTCATACGAAGTGCTTTTATTCTCTCAAATGGAGAGGTTGTCTCCTGTACTGTAAATTGTTAGAAGGATGCTGAGCTATTTTTGACTTTGCTTGCTTTCACTGTGCCTCGTTCGTTTAATTCATGTTTTATTTAACCCCCGGCTGCCTCGGCGAGGCCGGCAGTAAACATTCATCCCATGTCACTCCCCCAGCTCAGAGGGAGGTCCGTAGATAAAAACTCGTTACTACATCTGTCTCGATGACTTGCCGGGAGACAACAATGATAATAATGGAAAGATTTTGGTTTTAAACCGATCATCATGTCCCACAGCCCCTTTTATCCTGAGAAACCTTTATCCACAGGAGAAGCACACATTTCCTGTAGGACAGATTTCTCCTGCTGTTGTCCAAATGTTCTGCTCAAAGATGACAAAGCTTGTCAGGGTCACTTACCTAAGTTCGCTGGTCAGATGAACCTTGGTGCTGACAGACCGTCGGAGTTCTCAGAATAGCTCAGTCCCAGGCCTGTTCTGTGCTGCGTCGGTGCCTTGACGCGGCCAGCTTCAGAACGGAAGCGCAACGAGCCAATAGCCTGTCACTTATAACCTGTGCATCAGGGCAGTTTATTACCTTCGGTCGCCTTTAGTCCTTTCCTGCCAAAAATCCTGCACATTGTAACTGTGTCCTTGAGCCTGGCCATAGGTTTTGATGTTGCGAGTCTGCAGTGGGATTGTGGAGCTTAGCGGGGCTGGTATGACACATTACATTTGGGGGCTCTTTTGCATTTCCATAGCACATTATTTCCACTTGGGTTGACTGTGTACCTTGCCCTCGGCATTTGCTTCTACACACTAACATGAGATGCGTTCATGACTGCAGAATAAGAGCGTGACTTTTACATGTAAATAAACTGTCCATTTTGAATAGCCAGCACAGGGCCCTCACAATGGGGCAGGAAGAGAGGAAAGCCCAAGATCGCCAGTGGTGATTTGTAGTGCTGCTTTTCAGCAGAAGTCTATCTCAAAAACGGTAGCTTTCTGTCAGGAAGGCTGTCCCCAGGGCACTGAGACAGCCATGAAGGTTAAAACGGAGTCTTCATTAATGAGGGCATGTTTTATTCATGCCTACATGTGTACCCTGGCTTTTAGTAGGGTGGCATGCCACATACAGAGAGGCCTTTCTGTAGGATGGGCGATTGGAGAGTGACGGAAGGAGAGGATCAGTCGTGGGCAGACTGCGGTACATGTGAGGGCACGTGTGGGCTGTGTGATGGGTTACTGCTGGTGTTCCTGCAGGTGATATCGGAGGATAAAAAGAGGTTTAATGACATTTATTTCCATGAAAAGTGTGATGTTTGTTTTTTGCCCTTTTATGTTGGGTGTCAGGTTTTTAAAAAAAAAAAAAAAAAACTCGAAATTAGACCCGTTTTTTCCCCGATATATGCTCTTTTGGTTTCCTGTCCCACAGCAGTGGAATTCTCCGGCTTCTCTGGCTCTGTAATGACCCGGCATTTGCTGGGTTGGCACATGAAGGGGTGGCAGGTGGCACAGTGATCGGGGCCGTGACCTCATAACCTGACGTTTCGAGTCCCAGGGAGCTTCACTGCCTAAATTATCCCTGCAAAAATGGATGAAGGCTGCTGTTCTTGCACTGGCCGTTGACCTTGACTGGAAGGCATCTGTATGAAGGATAGAGTAGGATAAGTCTGCAGTCACCCTGAGCGGCTTGACAAACACCTCTGTCGCCTCCATTGCCCTGATCTCGCTTGACATTTTGCACCCCCCCAACCTTCATCTTATCATCTGCAGTTGAGCCCTCATGACGGTGGCTTCACACCCGTCTCTGGCCATGCAGCACGAGGCCCTAACACCCATCCCAGTTTCCCGTTAGCAGTCTTCCTCACGTCTCATTAACTCCGCCTTGGCCAGTTGTCTAAGATGTATGTAATTTGACACTCTTATCTTCGGGGCCATTGGGCGCCAAGATGGCTCTAATTAAACTCACACACCTGCTTGGTGCCTTTATCCAAAGTGACTTTAATGGCTTAATAATTTTTCACTTGGGTGACTTGCTGGGTCTTGTGCCTCGGGGCTGCAGGTTTGAGAGTTGTGCATCTGGGAGCTTATGCGCCCTCCCTGTTCTTGTACGGGTGTCTTCTGGGCGTTCAGGGATTCCTCTGGCATCCCAGCGAATCGGAAGTTCCAAATTGCCCATAGGGTGTGACTCTGTGTGTCTGCGTGTGCATGTGTGCGCTCACACACGCGCACTCTGACTTTCATGACCTTGAGTGGATAAGCAGCTGCTGAAAACTGACTGTAAAAGTGTTATGGTGGTAAACCTTTATATAAATTCTTTAAATTCATGACGTGATTTTTTTTAAACACTTGGCCATTTGCAATATAGTTAGGAGGACCTAAGACTGCATAACCAGCTGTGGCTAATTGGTAGCTAACTTAGGGTTCTTTGAATCTTTTTGTTCAGTTGTGTAAAATTCTGGTACTTGGTCAAACATTGATTGTCGCAGACAGGGACGGTGGGGGCGGGGACAATGCCTTAACTCTCTTTGGGTGTCTCGTGTGTGGGGAGGCAAAAATGACCATGAAGAAGATGCAATGGACTAGATAATGGTGTGGGTATGAGGGCGTAGCAAGAGCGGCATGATTGACTCTCCTAGGGGGATCATGTTTGTGTTTAGACATGGGACTTCACTGACAGGAAGTCAGTAGTTATACTCCTAATTGGCAGGAAGTGTGCGCAGAACTCTGGTGATATGTGTGTGTTTTCAAGCAAGGCACTGGGGAGAGACGCACGTGGGATTGTTCCCGGCAGATAACCGTACCTCCACCTCTCTTCCAGGAACACGACCGTCTGCTTGTTCCCAGCAGTTACACAGAGATCAGCGGGAAAGTCTGAAAAACACCGTCTCCTGGTTTTAGAACCAGCAACACGCCGATTTCATTAGCGCCAGCTCTTTTCCCCCTCATCTCTGGATTTATGTGTCTCGTATTCGTTCGCCCCCAATGAGCACTAGGCAAACACACAGTAAATACTTAATGCGCCCTGGGTGGTACGTAAGCGCTTTGCTTGCGCGCGTGACAACTTCGGGGGGCACGTAGCCAAAGATGAGTGAGCCGAATCCATGCCAGGCCTGAAGGCCGTAGCGGTTCAGGTTGGATTCGGTTCAGCGTGGGCATCGCTCTGTAATAAGGCCCCAGCCTGGGTAGCCGAAGGGATTCAACAGTGTGAGGCTGCTGTCCCCGGGAGAAACAGATGTTTGGCATTGGGGGGGGGGGCAAAAATAAAGGACTCCTAGCCCTGCTCTAACGGGATTACCCCCCTCCAGGCTGTTATCCAGGTCTCCAGCGTTGTTATGCACCAGCCCAAAGGTTATTACATTGCTGCAGATGGTCTGATTTCTGATTTCACTGCTTTTGTCCAATGGAAGCCATAGAGTTACCAT